CATTTATATATTTCAAGTAATTCTATAATGCAGATATAAATTCAAATATCAATTTGCTTCATCCTCATATGAGTAGTGTAAGTTTTGTAAATATGCTCATTACTAACTATTTACTAAGAACCCATAGATCTTCTCACATTGTCCTGATCTTACCCAATGGTGAGAATGTCTATAAATCTCATTGAAATATTATTGCCTTGAAATAAGTAACTGAAAAAGTTCATCTTTTCAAACTCTATGAAGGAGTCATTGTTTTTTTTTTTAAATCTAAAGAAGTTAGAGTCCACTTAGTGTTGAGATAAACTCTGAGGGTTCTGGCTAGAAAAAGTTAAAAAGTCTTTAAAAGAAACGTGGGAAGAAGAGTGTGGCTCAGTGGTAGACCAGCTGTCCTGCTACCTAAGGCCTGGGTTGGATCTCAGCCCTAGAATACAGCAGTTTAATGACACTCTAGGAGGAGGCAGGAAGCATAAGAAGAAAAAAGATGGATCCTTAGAACACACCCTGAAAGCAGTGTGAAGCATTATGATGCCAGAAGAGTAAATAATTCTGTGTTTTTACATTTATACTTAAATTTCTGCTACCTTGGATTTTCATGTCTACTACCTCCTTCCCAAGTGGCCAAAACCAACGGGGTAAATTTTCGAATCTCCTTTAAATGTCACTGGCTGGACCAGAGGTAGATTGTTTTATCTTTTTCTGCTGTATTCCATCAACTATTGCTGCCATCAGAAAAGCACTGTTCTGAATAATCCAAAATGGCAAACCTCAACATCTTCACTAAGAAGTAGGCAAATTGCAACACACACACACACACACACACACACACACACACACAGTAGTGCACACGCATGAGCACATAAATACACACACTAGAACAACAGCAGTATCAAAAAAATGCACCCAAAGTAGAAATTCTGGTATACACGATCCAAAGAGAAACCTCATGTGCACACAGAGACACACACATTGTCCTTCACAAAGCTCCATCACTCCTCGACGGCCAAAGCTCCAGTACAAATCTTGAAGTTACTAATACAGACCTGTTATAATTGATTTTAGCCATTGAGAAATGCCTGTTAAGGTGCCTTCTAAAATCTTTCCTCTGGTTCATCTACACAACTGTCCTTGAGAAGTGGGCTGAGCCAAAGCACAGGGTTCCTGGCCCTCATGCCCTGTTGTGTAAGTTACTGACCATAAAAGTAGGAGAACCTACGGCAGGACCGACAGACTTTCAAAGAGCAGAACTCACCATTTGTCAGAACCAGAGTATGTGAACCTAGGTGACATCCCAGGCTTACCCGATGGCTTGCTGGGCTCACTAGTACACACTTGAACCTTACTACAGACACCAGTTTAAATTCTGACACACCTGAGTATGCAGGAAAGGAGGGAGAAACGAACATCTTATCCCTTCAAGGGCCACCTTCAGCTACAAAAAAACAAAAGTAATGGCAGCTGGCCTTTGTTCTCCACAACCTTTTGTGTACTTCTACAGTAACTCCAGAGCCTTGCTCCAAGTCTGCAACCATGGCAGGCAGGCCAAATAGTTCCTACATCAGAACATGGCCTTTTTTTTTCTCTCCATTAAAAGTTTCCCTTTATTTGGGGACATTCACCTCAGTCAAGCACAGGAAAAGCTAAACACGACTAATTCACATCACACAGTCCCAGTGGCCTGCATGTTTTGTCTAGGCCAGATGTGTCTAATTAAGTCATCTTAACAAGAGTAAGTTAAAATGTTCAGCCTCTTGGGAGCAGGTTACATGGCTGAATTATACACTGACAGTGGGATTCAGAGTCATATCTTTACATCCCAGTCATTTACTAAGGGCTTCATTTGTAAGCCAAGAACACTAGTGCAGACACAGACAGACACACAGACACACACAAATACACATACACAAACATACCCATATACACACAAACAGTGCACACACACAAACACACACATACATAAACATACTACATTTGCACAATCACACACATGCTGTACACACACACACACACACACACACTGCTTGCCTCACTAACTGGCTTTCTCTGGAGATTCTCTGTCTGCCTTCCAATTGCTGGGATTTTAGAAGGGCCACCAAGTCCAACTGACATCATGTGGGGTTGGGGACCTGAACTATGGTCTTTCTGCTTGTGCAACAAATGCCCCAGCCACAGAGTTATTTCCCAGTTTCTTCATGATAATTTAAATATAGATATTTTCTCCTTAATAACTATGCATGTTTCTAACCCCCACCCTTGGTCATTTAATTTGTCAATTTTAATTTGTGACCTTTTTCTTTTTTATCTATTACTACCTTCAAACTTTTGGTTATTTTCTAATTTTTATTTTTATCCCTTTTTACTTTTGTTCTTCTTTTTATTTTCCTTTCTCTGAAAATATTTCTAAAACTCTGAATTAACTCCAACCTCTGCTCAGATCGTAGTAGTCAGATATTAATATATTGCATCTTCATTTTCATTATTGACTAAGTGGGTCTTTATTTCAACTTCTTCCTAGATTCAGTCTCTCATTCTGAGGGTGTTTTTGTATTTCCGTGTGCTTAGGATTACTTCATGTGGGAGCTAGAGATTCAAACTAAAAAATGTTGACTTGGGTTAAAAGGGTGTCCTGACACTTTAGGAATGCACTGCTGTTCACTTCTGCAGACACTTGAGATTTCAGGTTAACCAATGTGAAGGCTGAGGTTAGTGTGCTAACTGTGTTTTCCTTCCTCACACTCTGCTGCTGCCATGGGAGCCCTTCAACAGCACTAGGCTGTGTAAAGATTTGCATTCCTAGTAGCAAGACCAAGTGTTTCGTTATTATTTAGTCAAGTATTTCGTTATTATGAGTGGCAGTAGTGAGTTAATTAGTCACTAAGAGTTAAGCAAATACCATTATTAGAAAGAGAGGGGCCCAGTAGACAGAGAAAAGCCCTGCCATACACAAGCTACATCCGTGCCATGGGAGTTGATGGAGAAGTAGTATCCCTGACTGTGATCTTCTCTTTCTGCCATCACATGCTTGCTGGTCTCTAAGAAGATGGCTTAGGTCATTTATTTCAGCCGCAAGTTCCGCCTTGTGGTCTTTTTGACTTGGTCCTTGAAAAATGAGTTGTATAGTGAAAAAAAAATACTTGAACTAAATCTAACTGGAAAAATCTCCAGGGACAGGGAATTTTCTACTTCATTTTTCTCTAAAAATATCATTTAGATGTCACACCTGCCATGTTGTTGGCCACATGGTACTCAACAAATTCTTGGAGACAATACATTATTGTCAATGGTAGTAGCATAAGTATAAAAATAATTGGTGGTGGTGGGATAACTATAGGTACTGGTTGGTGGTAGGATGACTATAGGCACTGGTTGGTGGTAGGATAACTGCAGGCACTGGTTGGTGGTGGGATAACTACAGGCACTGGTTGATAATAGGATAACTACAGGCATTTGGTTGGTGGTAGGAAGGACAACTACAGGCAGTGGTTGGTGGTAGGATAACTACAGGCACTGGTTGGTGGTAGGATGACTACAGGCAGTGGTTGGTGGTAGGATAACTACAGGCAGTGGTTGGTGGTAGGATAACTACAGGCAATGATTGGTGTTGGTGGTAGGATAACTACAGGCAGTGGTTGGTGGTAGGATAATTACAGGCAATGGTTGGTGTTGGTGGTAGGATAACTACAGGCAGTGGTTAGTAGTGGTAGGATGACTACAGGCACCGGTTGGTGGTAAGATAACTACAAGCAATGATAGATGGTACTAGAATAACTACTATAACTATAGACATTGATTAATGGTAGGATAACTACAGGCAGTGATTGGTGGCAGTAGATACAATTATAGCACTGGCAGAGATGTCCCTCTTGGAACCTCTTGTGTAGGCTCAGCTGTGCTGTTCAGCCAATTATTAACCATTGTGTGTTCCCAGTTGTATTTCTCACTTGGGCTAGGTTGAGTGCTTTCTTGTCTCCAGATCTAACATTAACGCCCATTCACTGTTGTTTTTAGGAGTCAGGCAGCAAATATACCAGGTGTAGATCTCACCTATCCTTTCTTCCAAAGTAACCCTGATCGAATACTTCCTAAATGCAAATCTCTCTGGGCTAAAGTCAAGACTACTACTACTTGCCCACCTGCTACTCCATCTGGATGCTGTGGGCAGGTAGAACCAGCTCATCATTTCTGGAATGAATATAAAATCTTCAAAGCTATTTATCAGCCCTACTTGTACTTTCCAGGAGTGAAAGAGAAATTTCCAAAGCCACAGGATCCAGGCTTGCAGTTTTCCCCTCTGAAAATCCTGGCGCTCTACATTTCCTATCACTTCTAGCAATCAAAGACCGGGAAAGAAAAGATGGAACACAAAGCGTTTGCATGGTGGCCAGCACATCTCCCCACCATCTGGATCACTAATGAAGGGAACATATATATCCTTTAAATACCGTTATCATCAAGCAGGTGGAATGGCTCCGAGTGCAAGAAAACTTGCTGCACAAGCATGAAGACCTGAGTTCTGATCCCCAGCACCCATATAAAAAGAGTCAATTGTGAAGAGGCTTGTGCCTGTAGCCCAGTGCTCGTGTGTCAGAGACATGAATGTTTCTATGTCTATACTGGCTATAAGCCTAGATTTAGGTTCAGACAGAAACCTCAAGAGAATAAAACCAAAGTCACAGAGGAAGGCATCTGGCACACATGGGTCCATGCACAGCTGCACACACAAAATGCACAGCAAAGAAAAAAAAATACTGATATCATGTCATCATGACTAAAATTATCAGTAAGAATGAAAATGCTTATCCTTACCATTAAAGAAAGAAGTCTCAAGGCCGTCATCTACTAACAAATGTACCTATTTGCCAGTTTAAAACAAACCAAAAGTTTTGCATTATAGCAAATCCACATCTCACAGCTTTCTTATATCTGTTACAACAAACCTCTGTGTCACAGCTTTTTATCTGTCTTACACAGGTCACCATAATTACAACAAAGGATGGGCTTACCTGTGCGATAGACAAAGGTCCCTTCAGTTTCTGATGATGATGGAGACACCAGCTCTTCTTCAAATTCGTTGGAGCTAAAAGACCCGGAATGGTTCCTTCGCCTTGTTTTCCCCATCATGGCAGTGCTGGTGGCCATGACATGTCTCAAAGAGTCGTTAAGGTAACGGTTCAACAAGCTGCTCTTATACTTGGGCGGTGACACGTAGTCCTCAGCTGCCCTTGACTCTGGTCTCCCGCCAGCTTTTATTGCTGTGCTCTCCCCTTTAATGACAGTGTGGTGGGCAGGGGTGCTGTAGCCCTCTTCGTTCATGTGATTTCTTGGGGGATTTTCTCCATCTAAGGGGGGAAATATCACCAACTAGTATTTGTACATACTTTCCTCAGCTGCTCAACTGCCACACTTAGTCATCAAAAATAGACACAACAGAAGAATATATGCCACATGTAAGATTATTTTTATATATGATTATTTTTAGGTAAAGAGAAGCAGGAACCTATGTAATTGTTCCCAAGAATATTTAATTTTGATGAAAATGATTTTCCCCCACATGACAAATCTATAAACAGCAGAAATGGCTATAACTACTCCTGTTGCTTTATAATACTGTAAAGATGAAGTTGCATCATGCAATAGAAGACAATCTACGGACTACCATATCTTGTGGGGTCATTAAGACTGCACCTAGGGTGAACTTGTTGCAATAGCACAGCAAAGATCGGAAAACAAAAACCTGAACGAACCTTCAGAGCAAGAGTCATCATCACTGCTCACACTGAGCCGTTCTGCGTTGCCCTGAACATACTTGTTGTATAACTTTATTCTTAAGGCCCAACTTAAATCTGGCTGCCGGACAGTGTTCTTCAGCCGACGTCTGGCATTAGCGAACCAATTTGACACCTAAAACGGCATTAATTTTCCAATTAACAGTGCATTAAAACGTAGTTGCCATGTAATTGCTTTCTCTTAAAGGACCCAAGACCAGGGTTGAGAGTATGCACCCATGGTCTTAAGCTACTTGGGGGCCCTGCAGCCGGGGAATCACTTGAGGCCAGGTTTTGGAGTCCGGGTTTGGGAACAGTGGGAGGCGTCATCTCAAAAGAGACGGGGTGGCGAGAGAAGAAGAGGAGGAGAGGGAGTGGAAGGACAAATGATACAAGACTCTACAGACACAAGGAGTCGAGAAGTTAATGATGATACTAAGTGGACTAATTTGTTTTCTTGAAATTTTGAAAAGTAAGAGAGCCTGTTGAGGATGTGCCAGTGTGTTCTATTTGGGAAATGTCTAAGTTAAAATACTAGAGAAACACAGGGATGAAGCTCCAACAAGAGAACAGAAGGCACACATGAGACTTATACAGAGCGTGGGTGAGGTTTGAGGCTTACAGGCTCAGAGGGAGGTGAAGGCTATGAGTAGGCTTAATGAAGACAGTGAAGGGCCAAGTTTTGGAGGCCGATTGAGATTGGACACTTAACAGAGGAGCTAGCAAACCGACCAAAGGCAGTGCACTTGGAGCAGTGAGGAGAAGGAGGCCAACGGACATCTTGCTTGAAACTGAAAGTCCATTGTCTCTTATGCACATCAGTGAAGACCAAAAAAAAAAAAAAGATATTTAAAAGCAAAGAAAAATGACTTTCACTCTTGTTCAAGGAGCTGTTGAGTTCCCGGAGGATAAAATGTACTTTTCTCACAAAATATCAGGATATCAGTAGCATGTAATTTTTTTCAGAGAAATAACAATATTTGCTTTTAAAAATATAAACTATACAAATATAATGATTTTTTTCCGTGAATTTGTCCCAGAACACAAACTCCTATTAATTACAATAATTTCTGTGACAATGTTTTCACTGGAAGATTTTTTTTTCTTTCTCAGTCATTGTATAAAATACACTTGAGGTATTTATAGTACAGTATAAATGCTATAAATACAAAATAAGTAGTTTTGGAAATTGCTTGACTCCTAATTATTATATGAAACTATTGTGATTTCTACTTTAAAAAGCAAAATGACATTTTTCTCCTCCCATGTCTAGCATGTACTGTTTTATTCACATACATTCAACATTGACACACTCATATTGTCTCTTCTGCGAAGATGGCTGTCCTTTCACACTGTGTACCAGGCCATAGTAAAAACCTTAGTTTTCACCAACTTCTATTCTGGTCAGGCTGAGCTATTATTCAGTGGATCTTTAAATTCTCAGGCTTTCCTTTCTATACATAGGCACCATCCAGAAGTATTTATTTAGCAAATAGACAGTGAGTAGCTATTGCATACTAGCTGTGCTGTGAAGTGCAGGCCTTGACAAGGCCCTATTAACACACATGAATCTACAAACACCACACACTCGCCTGAACCCCTATAATAAAAGTGATAATCTGAGACCCAAGGCAGCCATTGACCATGGAAGCAGGAGCATCCGGTCTCTTGTCTGCTAACTTCCCTTCTCGCTTCTCGTTCTCTCATTCACTGCCCAGAGATTCAGGCAATCCCCCGAACTGCTCAGGTACTTCACAAACATCCTCCCAGACTTCCCTAGTCTCCATTCTGTTCTCTTATATGGATCTTAGCAACTATTACCAAATTCAGTCGTGATGTATTATTTTGACTTAAATCAATTCACTTCCTCAAGTCACCATTAATGCCCTGCTCTTCTGTGACTATGGAATAGTGAAAAGTGGCCTGGTTTCTTGGCCTGAATTTTTTAAAAACATGCCATGTCATGTAGACTTAGATTATTCATTTCATCTTTTTCTGGCCTTCACATATACATCTAGTGGCTGGGATGTAACACAGTGGTAGAGCAATTGCCTAGGAAATGCCAAGCTCTGGGTTTGATGCTTAGCATGAAAACAACACAAAACAGAAGAGCAATGCCTTCACCGTCAGATGGACCATATGCTTTCTAACATCTTTGAGAGCTGTGAAACAGCCATCACTGATGGCCTACCTGTCAATCACTTTGCAGACAGCTGTGCAGCCTGCCTCCTACTCACCGATGCTCCTTCAAAACCATTTGCATGTGACTAGGTCATTTACACTTCTCACACAGAGGAGGCATCTTCTCCTGTGTCTATATCACATTTCATAGGACTCAGCACCAAACCTTTTTGTGTTACTTTCTTTACTAAACAACAGTCAACTGAGACTGCACTAGTTAGACCTAATGAATGTCACTAGCTTGCTTTATACCCACATGGTGCAGAGTAAAACCCAATTCTCAGAACACTTCATACAATAAGAGTAGAATGGCCTTCTAGCTAAAAAAATCAAACATTAGTTCACTATGATTCTAATGTATTAAAATGGAAGAATATTTAAATGTCATGGAGATTAGCTGGCTTTTCATAATTAGGGATCATCTACTTTTTAATGTGTTATATACTCATAGTATTTAACCTATTATAGTAACATTGGAGAATTCCCAGAATAGTCTGTTTTATCTAACAAAGGCTTTTTCTAAACTGTTTTTTAAGTTCAGTTGATGCCCAGTATCCTAGCATGCATATGCTGCTGTATTTTATCAATAGAAATGTACAGCACAACTTAACAGCGAGGTGCAGGATGAGGTATTTTATATTGACTTCCATGAACAGCATGATCAATGAATTTGCTTTTTTCTGCACTTTTCCTCATGACTTAAGGAAAATGTCTTGTGTCACTGACAATGAAAATATAAACTCACATTTTCTACATTTTACACCTGCCCCAGATTCCTTCATATTCATGCATAATTTCTTACCAAGGGTGGGTTCTGGAACAGTATTTAAATGTCAGAAGTGCCTTTAAAGCTCCATATTTTAAAATGAAAGCTTAGTGAGTGGAATATCTAGAAGCTGGAAGAGAAAACTGCTTTTTGGCATTTTCAACAAAGGTGCTAAGGTTTGTCATGTGGACAGAGAAACTGCAACGTGGACCCAGAGGAATGAACTGGAGTTTGTCCAGTTTTAAACCTATCACATCTAGAAGCTTAGTTTGAGTTATTAACTTAAATAACCTTATTTCCATACATATAACACTTGGAATGATGTGTAAAGTCTCATGTAAGATTTTGTTGAATATTGAAAGTATTGCCTTAGAATACTCAACTTTCAGTAAAAGCAGCTATGCCAATGTTGGAAGTGAAATTTTGGAGTCCTGGGATTTTACCAAGCACACAGGAGCACATCACCGGAATGAGAAAGTCTAGTCCCAGAAGAGACACAGACACCCAGACATTATTCCTCAATGAGCTACAAATCTTATAATAACACCAACTTTCCATCTCACACTACTTGTTTTTGCTACACAACAACACAAGTTATTCCTACTCAAGGGGTACACAGCACATTCTTATAATACATGAACAGTGTTAGTGATAGGCACCGCACCCAGTACAATATTTTGTTTTGTTGACATCAAAGCATGCCACAAAGTCCTTAACTTTCATCAAAATGCTTCTTATGATGTCATAAGGATGATGCCACATGCAAACATGAGTTAAAGACTCCTAGCAAATTAGGGCCAAACCGTTAGGGTCAATGAGTAACAGGTAACAAGAGTCACATGATCCATCCACTCACTTCTGTCCCGTTTTCCCAGGGATGAGCACTGTAGGTATTAAACAATATCCTCTGGAATTCTGTGTAGCAGAAGTACTAAAGCATATTTCCACCTTTTTCCTTCTAGGCTCCATGGGAGATTAGGAAAAGCAGGTTTCACAGCCTTCCTCAGCATTGTAAGAAGGGCAAAGGAACTTAAAATTACTATGTAGGAAAAGCCTGGCACACACTCAGAGGAAAATGTTAAATGCAGAATAAGTATCTAAACTTACAGCATCTTGTTGAAGAATAAAATAGTCTTGGGGGATAGATTGTTGCTATAAAGCTCGAGGAAGAATCAAAAGAGGAGGCCCTGCAGTCAGTATGAACCAAGGACTCAGAAATAAAAGCAGCTTTCCATAACTGCCTGCAGGCATATGTGCATGGCATATTTTTAGACAATTAAAGTAAAGTGAGTCCTACTTGAGCTTGATCACCATCCTATAGGACAAAGCTAAGAAGTTTCCCTATGCATGTTTCCTACAGCATTCTAAAACCAACCAGAGTTAAAGGTTTCCTAGAATGGCCAGAGAGACATTCTGGAAAGCTACGTGTGACTTTAATGTCATTTCCCAGAAGAAAGCTACTCGTAGGGATAGTGTGCTGCAGGGAAAGAGCCATGCTGTGGGGTAAACCCTGTGACAAAGAGAAGACCACTCTTCTCCAGAAGGCTGGCCTCACAGGAGAAAGTGGCTCAGGGAGAGACTGACTCAGGATACAGAGTCTAATTCTCAGGGATCAAAAACTTGACTCAGATCACAGCTTTGCCTCCAGAAGTGTAAAGTATTTGCATAATTTATGCAGTTTCCAAAGTTGGACTATGCTTTGGACGTTTAATCTATGTTTGATTTACATAAATTCCTAAATATAAAAACAGATAGGTGGATGTGTGGGTATACATATGCATATGACGTATGTTCTTTACATATGCCATTGTGCATGGCTGAAAATAACTGGACCTGAGCTGGACTATAAATAAGGTCCCTGGGTGGTGATTTTATGCATTCAAATTTTTTTCACTTATCATTTTAAAGCTTAAGAAAGTTATCATACAGACAATAATTAAAAACCCATTGTCATACATGTATTATTTATTATTGTACACAATCTTTGCTCCATTTAAGAATTACATATTTTTATTCTCTGAGTGGTATAAAAGAAGAAAATAATTTTGAACCAAAATTTCACATAAATTTTTAAAAATCTAATAATGTTACTAAATTTAAGTGTGAAAGCAGTTCTTTGTATTAAAGTTATCATTATAAGTAGCAAATTACTACATATGTAAATTAAAATATAACTTTGTATTGCAGTTTTCCCAAGACAACAATTAAAATATAGTAGTTTAAATTTCCCACTAAAAGCTGTTTTTAAAAACTTGTCAAGTAGACTTGTTTTCCATATGAACAACAGTAAAGTCATATCATAACCAAAATAATGTACTGTTTTACTGATGAACTCACTGCTAGTATTCAAGGACCCCCTCCATAAGTGGGCATATGTCCAGAACAAGTAACAGGCCTGTTTAAATTGACACTGGAGCATATGCATTTATTTTCATAAGTCAATTTTTTTCTGATTGTAATAACTTATTTAGAAACTGGTTTTTCGAAGTTCACAGTTCTGTGCTAAATAAATCTCAAGCCAAGAATACAAAATTGGTTTTTGCCTCCAGTGCTGTGGCAAATCACCATTATTACAATTTCCTGTTAATAGGAAGGAAAGCAGATGTTTTTCTCTCAAACTGTATTCTGAAAATAAGCAGAAAAATACATGGTAGAATCTTGTGGAGAGTTGCTACAAGCCAACACAAACGCTCTGTCAAACTTTCCAGTAATTCTTAAATACTCTGGAAAGACATTTTTATTTTATCGAGTGCAGTTTTATCTGGGATCTCACAGTATCCTCTTGTCATAGTTTGATGAAATGTGTCTTGCGTGTGCTACTGTAATATAAAAGAAATCCCCAGCTACTGTAATATAAAAAACTTTCCAGCTCACCCTGTGGACTCCTCGTTCTGAATCTGTTGTTTACACAAAAGTCTGCATCACTACATTTAGTAAAAACTGCAGTATGATAGAAAAGCACTTAATAGGGATTTGTTATCGGGAGTTTTTGCCTGCAGCTTCCGCTTACCTTAGTAAAACACTGATGGTAACTGCTCTGTAGCACGTGTTTGGGATAATACCAAATACTGATCGTGCTTAAAAAAAAAAAAAGCTAGTTAAATATAAAGCAGTGTTCGTTCACTAGAAAAGAAACATGCTGCCATGGTTGGCGACGTGAACTAAACCCTCTCAATCTGAGATCTTCTCTCCCTAGCCCAACAGAAAGCAGTAGCAGAGTGCCTGGGCTTCCAGCTGTGTCAGGATGAAGCAGCATTTAAAAACCCTTTCCCACCATTCCTGTTTTCTGATCTAACTCTGAGTAATAGTTGGTTTTACTTAGTATGTACATGAATTTTAACTTGGGGTCCAATATGCACCTGCAGGCTCCTGGGTTCTCAAAGCGTCCTCAGCATCACCTGGGAACTCGTTAGAAAGGCACATTATGGCCCCGCCCCAAAACTATATAATCAGGAACAGTGAGCAAAGCAGGATACAACAATCTGTGCTCTAAGTAGACTTCCTTCCTAGTAACTAATACATACTGATGACTGAAATTAACGGTGGGTAGACCACCCTTATCTGTCATTGCTCTTAAATCCAGATTTCTACCCATCTTTGTATCACACTGCAGCTGGCCTTCCATTCCCTCCAACGGCAACAGTGCATCATGGAAACTTTTACTGGACCCAATCTTTCGCACTCAGATGATTGATAGTGGTGAAATCCCTTTTCCACGACTAGACCTGGCACCTGTACCTAGCTCTTATCCTCTGTAGCAACACAAGGCAAAGACCTGGACCGGCCTCTGAACTCGGAGGCACCATCCTAGGAAGAATGAGGCGCAATTGCAGGAGCATGGTGCAGCTAGCGGGGAGACCCACTTTGGAGGAGTCTGGATTACCTGCACTAGCGTCATCTGCGAGCCTAGGGCCAAGAGTATCTTCTCAGTCTTCGTAGGGTACGGGTTGTCACGGTGCTTGTAAAGCCACTGCTTAAGCGGCCGTGCCATGTCTTGCAAGGCCTGTCGCTTGTGCCTCACCTTCCCTCCATTCTGCCGGGCCCTGGGATGTGAGGAGAGGAGAGGGACGTGTTAGCGGAACCTTATGGGTGGCCTGAAGGCCCTCCATGCTGGATCGCATTTCTGCGATGTCAGCACCCAGTCCGGGATTACCGCCGGGCGACCCCATCCCACAACCGCCCAACAACCCAGGCTGTCTATACTTATGCACTTCAACTCTAACAGCCCCAAAGTCAGGACAAAGAAAGCAAAGGAAACCCCACAATTTCTCGGTGTAAGTACCGGCTCCTATGCATCTTTCTGAATAGCCAGCTGGCCACGGAATCACTCGTCAAATACAAGGTTTTACATTTATACTGAAAGGGGGAGCTGTTTTGATCCCAGTAAGCAGAGGTGTACAGGGGTAGGAACGAACGCTACGTGGTTGGAAAACTGTTCACTAGACTGTAGATCTGAACCCAGACCTGACACTTTCTTCGACCTCTTCTCCTTCAGGCCATTGAGTGGCCCTCAGAGGAGGGCCAGTCCTCCAAGTTCTCTTGCTCCGGTCCTAGGACTGTGGGTCGCCAGTGGTCAGGAATCACTCACTGGACGCCGGAAACAAAGCAAAGGATGATGGCTGCCTAGGCTCTGTGAACTCTCGTTTATTTCATTTAATGCTCTGAAAATGCGAGACGCTGGAAAGAGAGCAGACCCTACAATGCGCTCTAAGGCCTTTCTCTCTTTAAGAGCGTGAAAAGCGCAAAACATTGTCCCAACAACTAAAGGTGTGTAAAAGACCCCAGGAAAGCAGACTCTTAGGAGGAACACACAAAGCAGCTGGCCCTGGAGCCGACATTGGGTGCTGCGCTCCCGGGAGGCTCCGGGAGGTGTCGCCGCGCATCTGCGAGAGCTCCCAGCCCCAGTTCCCGCTTGAGCGACTGCGCTCCTGCCTCAAGGGCGTGAGCGTCTTCAAACTCTTTGAAATGCAATTCCACCCGCGCTGACTGGTAGTAACAACCCGAGGAAGTCTAATCTCTTTTACCAACCAGCAGTGCTGTGAAATAAGCAGCTGGTGCTGTGGCTCTGGAGAGGGCCGGCTGCTTTAGGTACCACGAGGACCTGGCCCGGCACACTCTGCGCCGCACACCCCAGGACTGGAGCAGAGGGCTCGCCCGGGAGTTCCCGGGCCCCCGACAACCCTCTTAAACCCAGGAATCGAAAGCGTCCAGGTCGGCAGCCGTTTTCTCCGGGCTCGCAGCGGGCTCCGCTGAGCTGTGAGCGTCAAAGACGCCCTGGGGGAGTCCACCTTCTCAAAACTTAGTCCCGGGCCGAGGTAAGATTCTCGGGTGACAGAAAAGAAAGCTTCCGAGGTCTAACCTGGGAACCATCTGTTTGACTCCACCGTGTGACAGCGCACAGCGCACAGAGCTCAATCTGCTCCTGCTACATATACTCCAAAGGAAGCAAGAAACTACGCTGGGTCCTGGAGTACTAAGGACCCCAAGGTACAGGAAGACTGGGCGCCAACTCAATTTTTATCTAGCCTCTTTTGAACTGTTCTAAGGAATTAATCCGCCCAGTTTTGAGATGGTAAATCCTTAAGAACCAGGCATGCGGGTCCAGGAGGCGCAGATCTGCTCTCTTGGAGGAAGCTGTGGACTCCTGATCTTGTTACACTTCACCCACCCGCTTCTCGCCGCCCCTACTCTTTCGGATTAGCGGGTCGGCACCAGCCCCCCCCCCCCCGCATGAGCATACCCTGTCCTCCGGTGTCTCAGGCTGAGGTTGTCTTTGAGGGGCGGGCCATCCGGAATGCCCACCTCTGGGCCTGTGTGTGGATTGTCCAGGACGCCACCGTACGGCCGGCTTCCACGTTCCCGATCTGGGGTGCCTCGGTCTTCAAAAAGCACGGCTCCCCCGAGCTTGTTGAAGACGATGGTGTTCATAGTGAGGACTGGCAGGGACATGCGACCTTGCCGCAGCGCCTCTGAGTCCGGCCACCAGGAGCTCCGCAGCAGGACTCAGGTTCTAGAAGATCAAGACGCAGCATGTTACTTCCGACAGTGCCCAGGTTCTCGCAACTCAGGAGCCCTGAACTTGGTAGAGCTGCTGGGCTGTGCTGAGGGCAGAGGCTGTATTGTCGCTAGTGACCAGGGAACACACTTCTTCCATACCTAGTTACCTACATACTCATACAGCACTCCAGGGACAGTCCCCTACCCTTCTGCTCTGATCAATCAAGCTCCCACACCTCTAGGAACTTCACACAAATAATTTACGTACTGAGGAAAAGCAATTTCCAAAGGAACTTTCGGTCTCTAAGAGAGACACAATCAGGACAGCAAAGCAAAATAAACAAGTAAGAGAAATGTTCGTTAAGCATCACACAAATTAAAGTCTCTTCTGAGGTATCCGGAGGTTGGAAGGAACATACGATTTAAAGTAACATAAATGAATAATTACATCCACAAGGACGCGTCAATGCGCACTAGATCTTGGTGTTAGGATTTTAATGTTTTCTAGATCCTGGACCGTATGGCGGAGACCCCTGCGTCTTTCGGTTTAACTCTCCCGGTGGGATAAGGGCAATGGGAAGTTAGGAACAGAGCCCCAAACCTGAAAATTAAATAGTCTCAAGACAAAGATGTCACAGACGCCCCCCCCCCCAATCTTGTTAGGGAACTCCGAGCGAAGGTGCCAGGTCCTGTGTCCCTGGGGGTTATAGCCCGCAGGAATCCGAGCCCATTTCAAACGCTGGAAGCCTCCAAGTTGGCAGAGACCCGCACACCTTTGAGACTGTAGGGCTCCGGGGCTCACCTCTGGAGCTGGAGTGCCTCGGGGCCTCAGTCCGCTAGTTGCGGACATCCGGAACAAGGCCGAGCGGCTGCAGAACAGCCACAATACTGTTGCGAGGATCAGTTACGTATACACCGGCAGGATCTCCCTCCGACACTCCCCCATCCCGCTCCGCGCGCAACTGCGGGTAGCTCGTTCTACTCCGAGCTGCTCACACAGCGCTGCCAGCACCCCCGCAAAACACACACACACACACACACACACACACACACACACAGAGAG